GGGGGGAGGTTATGGGGGTGAGCAGGGGTGGGAGGGAGACAGTGGGGGGAGGTTATGGGGTGTGCAGGGGTGGGAGGGGGACAGCGGGGGGGAGGTTATGGGGTGTGCAGGGGTGGGAGGGGGACAGTGGGGGGAGTTTATGGGGTGTGCACGGGTGGGAAGAGGTTATGGTGGTGTGCAGTGGAGGGGTGCCGGGTAGGGGTTGGGGAGCATTTACCTTCCTCTTTGGTGCAGCCAGGACCCTCTCCTGGGACACAGTTTGGGGTCCCCACAGCTTGTCCTCCTAGGTGGCCCCCAGGTCTAGTCCTGGCTGAGTGGTGTGAGGTGTGGCAGGCTGTAGGCTGGGCCCCCCTAGAGCTTCTGGGTATCCTCTCCTGGGACCAAGACCTCCTGGGGAGGGTCCGCCCCGAGACTCCTAGTCCTGCCCGGCTGGGTGTGCGCCTCTCCTTCTCTAGACTTGGGGTCTGCTGGGCATCTCCCCAGGGGCCAGGGGTTTCTTCCTGGGTCCCACTGGCCGCTGCCCCAGCCTCCAGGTCCCTGCTGGCTCCAGTCAGGGAGCTGCGGCCCGAGTCCCCGAGGGTCTCCTCAGAGCTGCCCAGGGGCATGGGGTTCCGCAGCGCCTCCATGTATGACTCCCTGAACCAGCGTCGGGACTGCTGGCAAGTGGGGTCCCCAGGCGGCCGCCTCCTGCTGCTCGGGCTGCCCAGGTCTGTGTGGAAGGTGAGGGCCCTGGGGCCGTCCTCCTGGTCCAGGGGGTCGGGTCTCTTTCCCGGCCCCCCACAGTTCTCAGGGGGCATCCGTGGGCCCCACTCTGAGGGGCTGACCTTGACGAAGTCCCTGTCTGAGCTTCTAGACGGCATCCTGGGGCTTTCCAGCTCCGCTCTTTCTGGGTAAGGAAGGTGCCTGGGCTGGTCACCACCCACATGCCGATGGCAGTAGTGGGGGGTCAGGGTGTCGAGGGAAGGGGTGCTTCCCTGGAAACGGGGGCTTGCCATGGCTTGGCTGGGCACTGAGGCCTCTGAGGGGCTGCTGGGCAGGATGGTTCCAGGGCTGGGGACCAAGACAGGGTCAGTGACGTCACTCCAGAGGGCTCGGTGGACGGCCAAGCCCGAGGTCAGCAAGCAGGTTTGCAGGGGGACGCGGCTCTGCTTGCGGTTCACCCACTCCAGGAACGCCCCTGTGAAGACGCAGCCATACATGGCCTCAGGGATGGTGACTGCTTCTGTGCCGCTTCCCAGCCGGGAGAGGCATTTTAAGACCAGTCTAGCTGACTGCTTCCCCGCCGACGTGACCTGCAGGTAGAACTCCCCGGGCTGGAGCGTGACTCCGTGCAGGGACGCCAGCTGCACCACCACCTTCTCCTGGACGCACAGCGGCCAGCCTGGGTGCAGGAAGACCAGGCCCCTGTACCTGGCCTGAGACGAGAGAGGAAGGAGGTTAGTGGCGGGCACGGCCGTGGCCTGAGCCGCTCAGCGCTCTGGGTCCCCGCCCCTCGGGGGAAGGGCAGTGACTGAGCTCTCACAAGGAAGGGGTCTCACGGGGGCTGGGGTGCCCCGTCCCTTGGAACATAAAACAGGTCATCCGGACTAGAAAATGTGGGTTTCTCCCTTTGGTTCAGCGGTCAGTCAAAAAAGCAATTGTATAGGTCTTCCCATAGAGTTGGGCGTAGGTGGGCAGGGCAGGGAGAGGGGGCCGCCTGAGGGCACCAGCACAGCCGCCAGGCGCTCGGAAGGGTGAGTTGTCCCTCAGAGTGGTCCGGCCTGCCCTGGTCAGGGCCACCCGATGGGGGCTCCCTCCTTTGCACTCCCGGAGTTCCCGTGGCTCCCCGCTGCTGCAGGCGCTGCCTCCGCGAGGGGTGCAGGTGCCCCATGCTGGTGAATTTCACTTCAGTGTTTTCTCTGTTCCCTCTGAAGAGCCGACACCCCGCCCCATTCACAATTGTGTGCTTTGACTGTTTTCACCCAAATGATTCATTAGCATTTCCTGTGCTGTTGGAAACCGCACACAGATCACTTAATTATTGGGTGTTTATTACCCCCAAATTTTGCTCTGATGAACTAAAATACAATAAACGTCTGGAGGCCTACAGCCCCGCCTGGGTTTCAGCTGCTCCTGCAGAATCCACGCTCAAGTCCAGACCAATCACGTTTTCACTGGTAACAAACATGCCTTAGGTGTCTGTGCTTTTTCTCACGCACGAGGCTCCATCTGGCCTCACCCACTCATTCTCAGCTCAGCTTTACTCTGCGGGCCTCAGGGGTGCGGACGGAAGTCACAATCCCAGCTTTCCAGAACGGAAATAAAAATGCACTAAAAACTTAACAGTGCATTTGCCACTGAAAGAGTCACATATTCAGGTGGTGAAAGGTTATTCTCAAAAGCCTTTTTCTAATCATCTTCATCTTACTGGGCTTGAATGCTTGGAGTGTAACACTGAGTATGAGCACGCTAGGTGGTGGCTGACTAGGGAAGTGAAAACAAGTCCCTCAACTTTAATCAGAATTGAAACTCAAACTTGGCTCAAGGGGAGGATATACTGAACAGGGGACATCACTGAGACGGAAAATTCAACTTTAAGAACGGAGTTACACCCTCATTTCAGAAAATTACCTCAACAGCTTAAGTAACGTAATGCTGAAAACTGGAAAATATTCACCTATTTCAGAGGGGACACATTAGCTGGGGTGGTCCCAGGGTCTGAGGGTCACTGGCAAATCCGAGTGGTCCTGTAATCGCCTGAGGTCAGAGTGGGCCCTGGAGCTGCTCCACTCCAGACCCCCGTCCAGTCCATGCAGACATCCCCACCCAGTTTTCAGAAACGTCTAGGCGTGCTCCTCACACCAGTGAGCACGTGGGTCGGCAAGCGGCTCCTGACACCCTCCTCAGACCGGCTGCAAGGGAGGCGGGATTAAAGGCTGCAAGGCCGCCTGTCGGAGGAGCTGCGTCCTGCGCTGGACGCCTGGCGGGGCCACCTCCGTCCCCGCCACAGGCTTCGCCCTGTAGAGCCAGGTCCTTGCCAGTCCACAGGGGCCTCCCCGAGTCTAGGCCCCAGAGTCCGTCCCCAGTCCTACTGCCTGGCACCCCCTCCGTGTTGGTGCCCAGGGCATGTTCCCATGAAGAGGTGACGACCTAAAACGCACAAGTGACCGTTGAAAAAATCATAGTGACTTGTCCTTGTCATTGCACTACCAGATTTTTTTGAGTTAGAAAACAAATGGGAAGGTGTCGGGGCCTTTCATGTGTTTTCCCTCCCTGAGGGGTCTACAGGTCTCTACATATCCAGTACTGAATGAGACAAACCCTATTTCCAATATGCATAGCGTTTCTTCGCTATAGAAGGGAAGTGGGACAGGTTAAGGCAGTGGCACAGCCCAGGGGGCTCGTGTGTGTGTGTGTGTGTGTGTGTGTGTGTGTGTGTGTGTGTGTGTGAAACAGACATAACACGAAGTTGACCAGCATAACCATTTTTACGGGGTACAGTTCAATGGCATTAGGTCCATTCATGCAGTTATGTAACCATCACCACCCTCCATCTCCAGAAAGTTCCCATCTTCCCAAACTGAAATCTGAACCCATTCAACACCAGCTCCCTGTTCCCCTGACCCTGAGCCCCTGGCACCCACCATTCCACTCTCTGTCCCTGTGAATCTGACTACTTCATACAAGTGGAATCACACAGTATCTGTCCTGACAGCACCAGCTCCGATCAGGCAGCACGACATCCTCAGGGTTTATCCACGCTGTATGTAGCGTGCGTCGGAACTGCACTCCTTTTGAAGGTTGAATAATATTCCATTCTGGTTTATGCCACGTTTTGTTTATCTATTCACCCATCCACGAACACTGGGGTTGTTTCCACCTTCGTCTCCTGTGAATAATGCTGCTATGAACACGGGTGTACACACATCTGTTTAAATCCTCATTTCAGTTCTTCTGGGTAGGTTCCCAGACATGGAACTGCTGGATCATATGGTGATTCTGCGTTCAGTCTTCCGAAGAACCATTTCCACAGCAGCTGCACCATTTCACGTCCTCACCGACCAGCAGGAGGACCCCGATTCTCCACATCGTCGGAAGTGTGTGCTTCCCGGCAGTGTTTCTCCTTTAACAGCGGCTACCGTGACGGATCGGAAGTGGCATCTAACAGGTTTTTCTCGTGTTTCCCTCATGATTAATGACATGGAGCATCTTTTCATGTGCTTTTTGGCCACTTGTATATTTCTTTGGAGAAATGCCTGTTCAGTCCTCTGCCCATTTTTGAGTTGCGTTATTTTTGTTGTTGAGCTTTCAGAGTTCTTCGTTCGTTCTGGATACTAATCCCTTATCAGATACACCATGTGCAAATATGTCCCCCATTCTGAGGGCTGCTTTTTTATTGTGTCAATAAGGCCCTTTTTATGCAATCATGCCCTTTTTAAAAACTGGATGAAGCCTAATGTTTTTCACTTTTGATGGCTGTGCTTTTGGTGTTGTATCTAAGAAATCTTTGCCAAATCTGATGTCATGAAGATTTTCCTCTATGCTTTACTCTAAGAGTTTTATAATTTTAGTTCTGACAGTTAGGTCTTTGATCCATTTTGAGTGAATTTTGTAAATGGGGTTTAGGTAAGGGTCCTAACTTCATTCTTTTGCATGTGGATATCCAGTTTTCCAAGCACCACTGATTTAAAAGACTGTCCTTTATTCAGTGAATAGTCTTGGCACTCCTATAGAACATCACTTAGCCATGTATGTGGGGGTTTATTACTGGGCTCTCTATTCCACTCCACTGGTCAAGGTGTCTGTTTTTATGCCAGTGCCACACTGCTTTAGTTACTGTAGCTTTGTAGTACGTTTTAAAATCAGGAAGTGTGAGTCTGCCAACTTTTCAGCTCTTCTTCAAGACTGTTTTGGCTATTTGGGTGTCTTCTGAGATTCCACATGAAGTTTAAGATGGGCTTTTCTATTTCTGCCAAAAACACCATGAGACTTATCTGTAGACCACTTTGGGTAGTATTGACATTTTACAATATTAAGTCTTCCAATCTACGAACATGGGACATGTTTACATTTATTTATATCTTCTTTAATTTCTTTCAGCAATGTTTTGTATTTTCAGTGAACAAGTCTTTTACCTTTTTAGTTAAATTTATTCCTCAGTATTTCATTCTTTCTAATGCTATTATAAATGAAATTATTTTCTTAATCTGTGGATTGCTCATTGTTAGTATATAGAAACACAACTGATTTTTGTGTGTTGATTTTGTATTCTCCAATTTTGATGAATTATTTCTAACAGGTTTCTCTCTCTCTCTGTGTCTCTCTCTTTTTTTTTTTTTTTTGACAGAGTCTCACTCTGTTGCCCAGGCTGGAGTGCAGTGGCACAATCCTGGCTCACTGCAACCTCAGCCTTCCAGGTTCAAGTGACTCTCATGCCTCAGCCATCCGAGTAGCTGGGACCACAGGCACATGCCACCATACCTGGCTAATTTTTATATTTTTAGTAGAGTGGAGGTTTCACCATGTTGGTTAGGCTGGTCTTGAACTCCTGACCTCAAGTGATCCACCTATCTGAGCCTCCCAAAGTGCTGGGATTACAGGCTTGACCTACCATGCCTGGCCTTTTTTTTTTCATTTCAGTGGATTTTTTTAAAGAACAGGAGGTGTTTTGTTACATGAACAAGTTCTTCAGTGGTGATTTCTGAGATTTTGGTGCACCCATCACAGTGCAGAGTGTACCCAGTGTGTAGTCTGTTATCTCTCACCACCCCCACCCTTTTCCATGAGTCCACTGTATTATTCTTATGCCTTTGCATCCTCATAGCTTAACTCCTACTTATGAGTGAGAACATACAATGTCCAGTTTTCCATTCCTGGCTATACCACTTAGAATAATGGTCTCCACTTCCATCCAGGTTGCTGTGAATGCTATTATTTTGTTCCTATTTATGGCTGAGTAGTATTCCATCATATATGTATACACACACACACACACATACACACACCCCTCACATTTTCCACTCTTTGGCTAATGGGCATTGAGGCTGGTTTCATATTTTTGCAATTACAAATTGTGCTGCTATAAACATGTGTGTCCAAGTGTCTTTTTTGTGTAGTGACTTCTTAGTGGGATTGCTGGATTAAATGGTAGATCTACTTTTAGTTTTTTAAGGAATCTCCACACTGTTTTCCATAGTGGTTGTACTAGCTTACATTCACACCAACTGTAAAGGTGTTCCCTTTTCACCACATCCATGCCAACATACGTTATTTATTTGTTTTTTATTATGGCCATTCTTGCATGGGTAAGGTGGTATCACACTGTGGTTCTGATTTGCATTTCCCTGATAATTAGCAATGTTGAACATTTTTTCATATGTTTGTTGGCCATCTATATATCTTCTTTTGGGAATTGCCTATTCATGTCCTTAGCCCA